CCAATTGCCTGTAGTTTTTGATAACAGAGAAGCTAGAGGCTCTAATAAAAGACCTACAGAAAGGTGGTGTATGTGGGGAGGATAGAGACAGTTAAGCTGACAAAGTAAAACCTGAGTACTTCGTCTTGCTCTGACGTTGCCCACAATTTACTAAACTATTTTTTTATTTAAGCCAACTGTCAAGTAAAAAGCAATTTAAAATTGCTAAACATTACTATAATTTCTAGAGCCATTTACTTTTTAAAGAAATCCCGAAGTTGTAAAATAAAGAGCCAAAGCAATGCATTCCTAACTGTGGAATTGTCAGGGGTAAAGGATCTTCCCAACCTACTTTAAATCACACCATCCTCCCTTTGTATGTGAAAACGACGTGCATCCTTACCCCGTTAGCAGCTTTTAACATTAAGATCCTTTATTAGCTTGAGTGTGACCCACGCTTTTTAAAATTCTTCGTTAGTTTTTCAATGGCTCCAGAATTAAGGAAAGCCCACCATACTTAACCTGTAACTACCAATAACTCCATAAACTCTAGGTTCAAATAATCATCCGAATAATCATCCACTATGATGCTAACTAATATCCCTATTTATGCAGATATCTAAAACAAAGAAAAAGGTTACTTCTTCATAATGTACGCAAAGCGACCCATTGATTACTTAAATCTCCTAACAAAGAAATTGGTCATTGCTACCGTTCAAAACTCATCATTTGGTGGTGGAACGGTTTCTCATGTAGCTCCCTTTCCTTTGTAGCTAGGCAGCGAGGTCTGTGGACCTGGGAAACCTACAGGTGTTCTTCAGCTCTGCTTCACGGGCATGTGATTTGGACAACGGCAGCCCATACTCTCTCCATATTGCAATGACGGGAGTGCCAGCCTTCTCAACCGTCTTGGCAGTTGACTGCCAAGTTCTTGATCAACTGCTGAAACTTCAGCCCAGTGTAGAACTCAAGATGCTTTAAAAGTGTATGTCAAACACTGCTAGTTGCTCCTTCAACACTTATTTCTTCCTTCTCTATTACTAAGAAGGCCTTAATATTCTAGAAGGTGATTATGAGAGCAGTTAAGACACTCTTCACGTCCCCCTGCAACTAGGGACGACCAGGTGACCAAGCTGTGGCCAGGAAATGTAGGTGACGCTTTGATAGCGTCTCCTCCTAAACAAAAAGGCAGTGAGTTTTTTGCTTTCCACCCTTCAATCTTTCTCTTCTTCCTACCTGGAATCACATGTGATACCTAAAAGAGGCAACTATTCGTATCCCTGAGGATAGAAGCCATCCATTAAGAAGACACATCAAAAGATCTGGGTTCTCTGAAGCATCATGAGGCTACTGTACAAACTCTTAGCCAGGCAATGATTTCGGACTTCTTACCTGAGAAAACTTTGTCTAGTTTGTTAGTCAGCGATGGCCAAAGGCAAACTCGAACCAGTACGTCTTGCAGACGCATGAGGTCTTCGTTCTCCACCTTTGCTCTCTTCCTCTCGACCTCACTCCTCTTCCCATCCAATGGAGCCTGGGGTCTTCTCCGGGGTGGAACGAGCAGAATAATGTTGATAAAAATCCAGGCAGGAGGGAGGATGACACGGTTACAGGTAAAATTTTGTGAAAATATAATCACTTTCTTTCAAGCAGAACCTCACCCAAGATATCTTATTTTGCCCTATATGCCCAAAGGAATCTTTCCCTTAAAAAGATTCGCACTATTAACCCAGGGAAGGGAACACAAAGGCAGGTTAAGAGCAACACCTAATTCAGTACCTCAGGTCCGATGGGTATAGAAACTGCAAGATAAATGCATCGTTGTTTTCTTTTTTTTCTAAAACAGTTTTCAAAAGAATGACTGGCTCCCTCTCCAGCCATCAACGGTTATCAATCTGTAGAGTTGTTTTGGAAACACCATGAACACCATGAACAGTGTTCGATGGTTTGGGAAGAACTGCAGTGATTTTTTATGCGCTGGAAGCGGCTCCTCTTTGGTCAACAGGGACGCATTTGGTTTTGCTTAAAGATGGCGGTATGAAAAAGGGGGGTAGGTATAGAGCACGGCTGGTCATGAGCTGGTTATTTTGCAAGACGGTGACGGCCTGAGAGAGGCTCGTTGTACTCTTTTCTTATGTTTGTATGTTCACATTTTCCAAAGTAAAAAGTAAAGATAAAGAAGTTGAGCCCCTGACTTTCAAAATGGAATTTTGAAATCCTTAGCAAAATAATAGTCTCGAACGCCTGGACTTGTTGGGAGAAAGAGCCGCGCGCTTCTGAGCGCAACAGTAAGCCCCAGGGCCCGAGGGCTGAGCCGGCCTGCGGCGGGACCCAGGGCCTCCACCCGGGAGCGCAGGGGGGAGCTGCAGGACAGCGGAGACGGGGGGAGCGGCCAGGCGAGGCACAGCGTGCAGGAAGCCCCACGAGCTGGCGGCCCACGGCTGGGGAGCAGCGTCCGCCTCGGCAGCCACCCCGGGTCGCCCCGCTCCCTGGCTGCGGCTGGCCACCCCCGCACAG